ACGCCCGGGATCATGCCGTTTCCTCCCCTTCAGATCGCCCACACACACTGTCCTGATGGAAGGGAGAGCTTGTGGACACGCGGAATGAATGGACAGGGGTCGACGGGGAGGAATAGTCAAACCCGGAAAAACACCTCGAGGGAATTCGCCGTCAGGGATCGGACTCGCGCTCTTGGATCGAGGGATGGGGGAAACGACGTAATGCGGCAATTTGATAGAATTGCGCTCCCTTCTCCCCTCCTCGTCACTGTAGACGGGGAAGCCGGCGCCGAATGACACGACAACTCCATTGGGTCACGTACACCTCAAGCTGCCCGCGAAGCAGGCAAAGCTAGCTCGCGCACATGCCCGAACGTACCGAGCTCTCTCTCGACCCAGGTCAGCCGCGTTGCGGGCTGAAACATCACGAATAATCAATCTATGATCGAGGTGGTAATTTCTAGAGAATCCCGGCGTCCCGAAATGAGTCGAGCGGGGCTCGCGAGGCTATTTAATGTACCCTGGCCGGGATCGCGGTTGGAACCGACGGGTTGGTCTGTCTACCCGTCGCCGGGGCCAATCTTGAAGCACCCCACCCATTGTTCTCGGACGAGGGAGAATTCCCACGAAGGTGCATGGAATCGTCGGCGGATTTGAATTCGAGGGTCCGTCTACTTGCAAGTCACGGGTCAGAGTCTGCTGGCCCCAGGACCAAATGACCAAGTTTCCGAAAGCGGCGAGGCGGGCACTCTCTGACGGTCATCGGACGGCTGGACGAGAGAAAGCGGGCGGACCGCAGCGGCGGCGAGTAGATGGCCGTTTGCACAAACCAGTTGGGGGGAATAACGCGGGAGGTCGGTGGCTCCTGGCGCTGGTCGAGAGAACGAGCCGAAGGAGGCTAGAGCTCGCTCTCCAAACCGCCCGCTCGCTCAGTCCGTGGGTTCAGTCTAATGTGAGAAATTAAGAAGGCTTTGTGGACAAGACGGCTGGTTTCTCTCGGGTCTTTGACTCCCACTCTCGTTCTATCTAGTCAGCAGCTCACGCCTCCTCCGAGCGACCCGGTGGAGCATGGCGCTTCGGTGGTCGCATGACGATCAGCTGAACTGAGAATAATTTCATAATTACCCGATAATCGAAAAAACGAGTTTTCTGTTCACGGATCCAACGGAGTCGGTCCGGTTCATGACTCCCTTCCCCACGGAATCGGCATAGTCACCCGGAACTCTGACAACAAGAATCGAGACTGTGCATGGAAAGTTGTCGCCCGCTGCTCTAGCTGAGTGGTCAAGGGATAGGAACGTCTGACTGCCGACACCCCGGGTGAAAGATTGTCAAAGCCGTCCGACTCACTGAGAGTATAGATTATTATCCACTGTATGAATAGACAGCAGAGATGCGGCCCTAAAGCACTGAGGGCGCGAACAAACGTTTCCCAGCTGTCGACGGCCTTTCCGGCCCGCGTCGGTAGCAGCGGCGCCGGCGGCAGCATCACAGGACGCCTTCAATGCGTCGATACGTTAGACGCGAGAGCCAGACGATCCGGCGGTGTCGGCGAAGCGAGTCATGCCGAGAGACAAGGGAGCAAGACACTCGCCTGCTAGTCATCCTGCCAGCACATCCGAGAGCCGCCTGGCTCGAATGAAGAGAGTGATGCAAAAGGAAATATTGTTCAATTGTCGCATGCCTCGGGGAACAGAAGTGGCCGCCGTTGCTCTACTGTCAGCTCTCTGCCGCTAGCCCGCCCGCCCGCCTGCCGGTCTACAACGAGTGTCGCAGTCGTCACCATCGTTCGCACCAGCGACATCATGTTTTTTATTTGTTTGTTAAGAATCCGCTTCGAGCGTCTGTAGGCGCCTCATGGCCGACAACGACAGCATAAATCAAGGATGACTCTCGCGGGTGCACAACTCGAGCCTTGTCGTCCTCTCTCCGGGCTTACCTCCCACCCGGATATCTCTGGCAGACGGAGTTCTCTCGCGTCGGATCCGCCCCTCATCACCTGCTCCGGTATCCTGCTCCGTTTTCGTGTTTCCACCGCCGCTTTGCATCTAGTACATACGTTTCCCTTCCTCTTTCCGTCTCTCTCTCGCAGAGCTCGGAGACGACGACTTTCGGCGCCGGGTATTGTATTTATCTCGCGCAGCCGGTCAGATAAATCTCCTCCGTGAGCTGCCTGCCTTCCGAGATGAGAAGCTTCCGTGTCTTCGCGTGTGTCCTTGTCGGGCTCGTCGTTGCCTGTCCTCGGGCCCCGGCACGAGGTCCACGGAATGAGTGGGACAAAGACTGAACAAGCTTCCGTTCGTTGTGTGAGTAAGGGATTAAAGAGGTTCTCGTCCGCGCGCCAGCCGCCATTCAGCTCCGATCGTCATGAAGACTGTCGGCCTCCGAGCCGCCGACCGGGGCAGAGGGGTAACGATCGCGAGATATTAAAGAGTCAAGCAAGAAATGTGTCAAGCAGGATGAACGACAGAGACGTTGGATATTTATATTATGATTGTTATTAATAGAAGCATCATCCCCACGCGAAAAGCCGCGTCGGGAAGCGAGGAGGCAGTCAGTCTATCCCTCGCTGATGGAACGGACAACCGAAGAGTCGCTAAAAGTGCTGAGCGGAAGCTCCGAGATGGGGCAGCTGAGCGCGGGGATTCAAGGAGAGATATTAAAACTTTGAGTCAAGTCGTGGGACTTGAGGAAGGAGGTATAAGCCTGTGTGATGAAGCAGGGGTTTGCCATCCCTGGAGCCCGGTGGTGCGGACCGCGATCGTGGCTGCGTCCCGAGGAATGGAATTTCCCAGGATCGTAATGATGACTCCATTCTGAGCTCTCGGGGTGGGAATCGATTGCCAGCCTACTCCTGAGACTTTCTAGGAGCGATTCGGGGTGTGACGGCTCTCAAAAATCGGTTGCCTTCCCCAAGATATTGACTACGGAGTACATTCCTGCTTTCCCCGCTCAGCGGGCGTCGATTCTGCGCGAGCGGCGCGTACTCATTTGTCTCGAGATCGCAGCAAGGCCGTAGGGACAAAGGGCGCCAGTGGGACGCCGGAAGCGTTTGACAATGCGAAAATGCAGCGATTGTGGGAGACGTCGCGACCTCAGCCCCAGCACTTCTCCAGGGGAGACTTCGACTACTTTCGGACTTGATTCTCGGATGAAGCTCTTGATTGTTTTTAGCAACGCATTTACGGATGATGTACGCTCCGTACTCGAGAATGGCGTCGACGATGGCGAGAATGTCACTATCTTAACTCGCATCCATCCCACCGGTAGTCGAGGCCGGCCCCTCGAGGTTCGATTTGGACTCGGCTGACGTGAATTCTCTGGGGAAACGCTCCGCCGAAAATCCGTCTCTTCCCTGAACGCGAATGAGATGGAATTCTCCCGGAGACAGTCCATGAGCGCAGGGTCCTGAGATCGTATCCTAGTCCGCGTGATTGTCTTCGCGGGGTTTTCTACTAATGCGCTCGGTCGGTGAAACGATGAGCAATCCGCCGCGGGCTGTTAGCGCAAAGCTTTCAAACACTTCTAACTAAATAAATACCGCCGAAACAAGTTTCCAATGCGGTTCCACGCGTCCGGCTCGAGCCGCAAGAAAGTCCATGCACTCACTGTCGACATGGAACGCGCTGGAGCAGAGCAAGGCAAAATCCATCGCGTGGGAAGTAGTTCCCCTAGAAGTTTGGCAACACCTAACCGATCCATTTCCCGACTGATCCCGAAGCTGTCCACAGCATTGTCGTTCTTGATGTTGTTGAAGTTGTCGACGAGTTCGGAATTCCACGTGGAGCGTGTTCCGTATCCCTCGCTCAGGGAGACCGACGGATTGGTGTAGTTGGCAGAGGAGGGCAGATGGAGGAATGGATGGATGCATGGATGGTGGATGGATGCATTGGTCGATGAATGGAATGAGGGACGGAGATTCTCGACGCATAGGTAGCAGCCGCCGAGCCCCTGAACTCACCCCACATGGTGCAGGAGACCGGAGGAAAGGCTGAGGCATAAGCGATTGACGGCCAGAGAAGCTACGTGGCTCCCGGAGCGAGACGCTTCGAGATTGGTGGCACGTGTTGATCTGAGTTCCACCTGGGGGACCTACTCGTGCTGAGTTTTCGCTCGCTGGAACCGAGTGAAGCCTGGAAAACGGCCGAGGCGGTCTGATCACGTTGACGGGGTTTGGCAGATCGGAGCGAAGACAACTGTAGGATTCCCTTACGCTAGGTGTTGGAGTCCCCGAGGGCCGGAGGATCGAACCTACTCAGATTTTATCTTTGAGCGAATGTTTCTCGAAACCTTCGCCTCGTTTAGTTGCCGGCGCATCCACAATATTGAGGCTCCGGAAAGTGCGCACTTCCGAATCCGAGTCGGAATCGGGAATCTTGTCGCCTGCCGTCCGGAGACCTCGGAGGATCACCAGAGAGGAGAAAGCGACGGTCTTCGCTTGGAGCCATCCTATACTCCCCGACCGACCGACCGACCGACCGACCTACCGACGGACCCGCCAACCAACCTTGAAGAGGCTCTGTCAATTGATGTGGCCAAAATGCGCCAGCTATCTTCCTTCATCGTAGCTGCCAATATATATGGTAATGGTCATCCAACGCTAGAGCGAATGGATCAGGGACCGCCTGCCATTTTGATACCTTGCTCGAATGATCGTCTCGTTATCAACGAGGGCGGCCCACTAATCCTGGAATGAGCCATAAAATGACTCTTGTCCGATGTCTTTCGAGGCTCGACTGGGGCGTCAAATCGATTCCTCTGCTCAAGGTTTCGGTCTGTCACTCTTTTCAAGATGGAGCCGAAGAACTCACAGAATCGCATTTGATTTGATGTAGGTAATTTAAGTAATCGCGCTCCGCGATCTGGGCCAATGAGTGACCGAGGGTGGCGTGTGGAGGGATCACGGCAAAATACGCCCACACGACATCGACCGTCTGGATTCTAACCATCTTTATTCGTTTCGTACAGGTGCGCAGGACGGAGTCTTCGCTGTGAGATGAATTGGAGAACAAGCTCTTAATATGTCGGTGCCAGACGTGCTGGGCGGAGTGGACCAGGCGAGCCATGCGGTAAGTTGGCAATTTTCAATGCAAAGGTGCGAATCAATTGGGCCAACGGACTCGACCCAAATACCGAGGTAGAGCCGAAACGGGGCCCGAAAGACAAGAGCTCCGGAGCCGCTGACAACCCAGCGGTCTGCGGAGCTGCTCAATGTCGTCGGCCTGCGCGAGCTGTGAGTGGGACTTGGTCTGGTCGTCCACCATGTGCACAAGCGGCAGCAGGAACCGACGGAAGCGTTCAAGTCTCTGCGAACTCTCGCTCAGTACCTCACAGCCGGATGGATATCTCGGGCATCCTCTGGAAGGTCGGAGCTCCGACGGAAGACATCACAGAGAGCGGGGCAGAACGGCGCGAGGACGTTGGAGCAAATGGAGGGCGAATACGACGACGTCCTCGCAAAGCCGTCGTCGTCGGAGCTGCGAAGAATCGTTCGCCGTATAACGCATGGTACTGGCAAAAGTACGGTCGACCCCACCGGTGGTCTTAGAAACGCACTGACGACTCTCGTAGGCCAGCCGAGCCCGAGGAAGAGGACAGCAGAGGGTGATTAAAGCGCAGCCATTGTCTGCTTTTGCTGGGACGACCGGCGAGCGAGTCCTTTCGATTTGAGCCAGACTAAGCGAGCCCCGCCGCGCAGACAGACACTGCCACCAGATAAGGCTCATCTAGGGGCCTCCAGGTCCCTGGCGAGCCGCTGGCAGACAAACGAACAGAAGGACGGACGGACGGACGGACGGATAGACGGAACCAGCAGCTCGGATAGCGGGCCTCCAACATGCGAACAAAGAAATTTCGAAGACGGAGAGCCTTGGACGCCGGGGACAAGGAGTCGCAGATGGTTCTTCAGTTTTGCGACAGACTCCTCGCTCCATCCCATCAACCTGTTCTCGCGTTCATTCGTGGGCATATGAGGCGTTCCAGACATCCTTCCATCGTTTCTTGATCACTTTCGCAATTTCGATTCTTCATGTCGGAATCCGGAAATTCGTTTCTGTCGAAGTGCGGGCTCTCCCTGATTTCGGTGGCCATCTGCTAATACCCGCCGATCCTGGGAGTATATTCCTCCCTGTATCGATATCGTCGGTCGCTTACGACTCGTGGAGCCGTTCTATCCGACTGCAGGGGGAAGCAGAGTTCGTTCGAGTGTTTGTGAGAAAGCGGGAGCTTTCCGTTCCTGCGTCCGGAACGTTCGCTTGAACGTTGGTCTCTGTTTCCTGTCGATAAGCGAGCTTGGAAATTAGGACGAACACTTTCAGAGCTTGCCACGGCGACCGGCAGACAAATTGAACTTCCTCCGCGCTTGCCATGAGCGACGCTCGGGCATCCGATTCATCTATCTCGTTTAAATCTTTGCGTTTGTGGACTTTTGAAGTTTACGAGCGGAGTGTCGCGATCAAGGTCGGAGCCGGGAAGACGAGAGCCGAGAATATTATTCTCGGATACGGAGGAGGCTGCGCAAATGCTGAACAAGGAGCAGAACATGGTGAGAACTCGAGGTTTCCGGATCGCCTCCTCAAACGGCGGGTACGAAAGCGGAGAAGCGCACCGCAGAGGAAAATGAGGTCAACAATCTGGAAGGGCACCGAAAGGAAAACGAAAGAATACCAAGCGTTCAAGCACTCGAGATGATTACACAGAGTACGAATTTGGTCCGACTGACTGCAGGGTTGAGAGAAAGCGAGAGAGAGTGAGAAGAAAAACACGAGCGGCTACAGGAGAAAGAATCCTCGAGGTGAATCGAGGCGAGGGCCCCGCTCGAGCTTCACGCCCGCAGCCGCCACCGACGGCGGGGAAACAAACTTGAAAGGAGTTGAAGTTTAATGAAGGCCGCTTCTTTCAGGTCGATGTCAACGGCGGGGACCCCCACGGAGATCTGGCGAACGGTACCGCCACCGTTCCGCAAACCCCGTCGCATTTCCCTCAACCATCGAATGCGACACCTCCGCCAGGTAAGAAGGGCCGGAGTTTTTCCTCTCTCGAAAAAGCTCACAAGCAAGCAAACACTCTTCGGATACGATTCGAAAAGCCGAACAATGCGCAACACAACACGAAATCGCAAGCAGAAATCCTTTGTTCGTTTATCAGACTCGGTCATGCACGCAAGAAAATGCTGTTGAGCATCCGCATTAGCGGTGACGGTTTCGAGGCAGGCTGAACAGAGAAAACATTCCATGAACCTCCGGATAGAGGCTCGTATAGTACTTCAAGCCGATCGATTCCACATTTTACCACTTCATTCCTTCGTGGATCACCTCGAGCCGAAAATGATTTGTCTGTCCGCGGTCCCCAGATTTTTCCAGTCGGACGCTTAGACAGCGCAGGCTTCATGGCTCCTCATTCCATCTAGAACGATCACCAGATCAAGACCCATCGGGCCGCTCTCCTCCTCAAAAGTTGCTCGCTTCATAGTCATTACTCACGGGGGAAGTCAACACTTCCCTTCCCGCGACATCATGGAGTTTCTGTCGAGCGCATCCTTTTCCCTGATACCATCCGGGAAATCGACTGCCATTTCTCTGCCGTGCGGAGCGAAAATCGAATACGACATGGTCCTAAATTCAATTTCGAAAATACCCACTGCATAGATCCATCTCTGGAGAGGGAAAAAGATCCTGCTGAGAACAACTCCTCCTGGAAGCTCTGTCTGAAGGGGATTCGGTCCCTTCCTTCGCTCATCTGAAGGAGTCTGTTCGTTGCATAGACCCTGGCTGCAGTCGTCTTCTCGAGGACTTTTGAGACTTTCCGGGGCGACGCCGGTATTTTAGAAGCGCATAAATCCTGAGAAAAACTCAGCGGACGAAAAAGACCGGAGTGCTAAATTGTTCCGTGGAGAGGAAATTGTTCCACGCACCGACGTCCCATGGATTCCTTTAGTTTCATTATTCTCCGGAGTTTTAACACAGCTAATGATTACTTAATGAGTCGGTCTCAATCCCCTTTCCCTGCTGGCTCCCTCGTCCTTTGAAATCCTTTCAGGGGACAGATTCGCGTGCGAGTCTGAATACGAACGTGGAAAGCCATTTGCCAGACTCTTCCAGACCTAAATATAACAGCACCTGCATCAACAACATTAGCAGCAGCAGCCGCCGAGTCGTCGTCGTTGGTGGAGTGGGGTACAACAAGGGTACGACAGAAGCAGTCGGAGCGAGAGACGGCAACGTCAAACAACTTGAAGCAGCTACAAGAGACTAATAAAACAGCCATGAATGGAGCAGCGGCCCCGACAACGCAGTGGCTCTTCTGTCTTTTTGTCGTCTCCATCTATTCCGGCCATGTCACGCAACGTTCCGAACTCGATTGAACTCTGATAGGATTCTGCCGAAGTTGGCCGACGGTGCTCGGTAGTGAAAATAGCCTCCTCCCGAATCACGCAATATCACTGCGACGCTGCGAGCAACAACCGAATAACGTATGGATCGAGCTCCCGAGGTCAAGGTACCGGAAACGAAAGAGTTGCAGACGAGGTTCCGAGCTATTCAAGCGGACGCGGAGGGTCGGCTCACGGTGTGATAACGGCGCCAGTCAGGCTGCGTGAGCGGACTAGGCCGACAGAGAGCGAATTGAATAGTCTGCCGAGGATATTAGAGAACAAATCCAACGCCGCCATCTCGGCTCTTCCGCATCCTCTTCCCGTCACCGTGGCGGCAGCCGGGAGAATACTTGAGAAGGTCTGCCAGCTAGCCAAACATTCTGCCAGTCAGTTTTCCTCCTCGTCGACAACGGAGCGGGACGAACGATGGCGGAAAACAGCAGCTAATTTCACGAGATGCGAACCGAACGGCAATCGCAGCGTACAGTCAGCGTCTGCGCTGATTGGTGGCGCCTCTCCCTTCTGCGTGCGCCGAGCGGTCTATAGTAAACTTCGGCCCTCGAATCGATGAATGAAGGAGCCCTCGGCTGATTGCGAGGAGGGATGTAACTCTCGGTGTTTTGCTCATTGCAGGAATTCCTCCGAACGTGACTTACATCGAGCCCCTCGCCAACCTCGACCTAACTGCAACTTTAGCTCGACGTCGACGGGTTCACTATGCGGATCCTCCAGCTGCCTCGAGTCATTCGCAGTGCACGGCGGCTATCAGAGACGCCTTGGTGGCTCCCAAGCAAGAACTCCCCAGTTCGGCTGCGAGCGATATCACTCCAATAACGAACTCAGCCGCTAGTCGAGGGACTGAAACCCCGCTGGCAAAAGAAAATGGCCAGACACCACAATCACCTTACATCTCTGGTTCGTATTAGAGCGTCCCAACCCCGTTTTCCCCTTTTCTTCCTCTCTCCCGACCGCGGGGGCTCGCTCTTGTTTTTTTCCCCTTTGCCCCACCCTATCACCAAGGTTGCACAACACTATCAATTTGAGCACGCATGACGGCGTCGCAACTTTCCCAAATTGAATAACAAGCTCGAAGTCGTAGGAACTGGAAAGTTTGTCCCGGGAGGAATTCTGTATTTTTTTTCTCGGAGCTTCCCTCGCTCGCCGGCCGAGAGAGTGCTTGCCTAGGATATTAGGTACTCCAATTGGAACTTGTTCGACTGAAGCCTTATCATGGTGTGTCTGACCACGGCGTGTAGAAAAGGAGTTCTCCATCCGGGGGAAAATCTCCCTCTCCGTCTCACGCTTTTGGTCGGTGTTGTTTTTCGATCAGATGCTCGAGGCAATTACGTTAATGAAATAGCGATCTCGCGTCGCTGATTCTTCGACAAATCAGCTGGTTTTTCGAACTCACCCGTCGCTCGACTGCGTAAAACGGTCGCCGTGTTTCTCCCATATCCTAAGCCCGCTCGCGCTCATTTCCCCGAATGAATCGAGAATTTAAGCTGAGTCACAGCGCTCGGAAGGGCAACTCGATAACCTGACTGATGAATGGCAGCCTGAACTTAATCAGCTCCGAGGTCTCCAGCAGAGGTCCCGAGCTCGAAGGGAACTAGACCTCGGCTGTTTGACCAAACTTTCATTGTGTCGAATCACGTTCGAGCGGACAGAAGACCGCGAGCCAGTCCATACTTTCAATTACCCTGGTCTCCAGGATGTGCTTTGTGAAAGCTGCGCTAAGCCGCTAGTCGCGCAAGCAGCAGCAGCGGCACTGAGGTCGAGTCGACGAAGGCTGGGCTTCCGTTGTTCGACGGCCTGTCGGTCGGTGGGTCCACCGCCTGGGTGGCCGGCTGGTGGTGGTGGTGTGACACGACAATAACAGAGCCACTTAACTTGCAGCTTCTGTGGTGGACATCGCTTCCCACTTCGTGGTGCAAGGGTCGCAACCGAGGCCGCCAATCAATGCGTCGCTACCTTCCATCCCCAATTATTTCCCCCCTCAGGCTCTCGGCCAGTTACAGCAGCAGCAGGTAACCGGCCCGCAGCAACCACAGCAACAGAACAGCCACAACTTGCTCAATTCTGACCCAAATCAGACTCCTCACGTCCAGGTACGTTCCAAACACTAAAGCCAATAGAGAATTCCACTTCCATTTGTAGTTGGCTCCCCCCGGAGTTTGCCAGTTTGTACCGGGGCGCGGTTTCGAACGCTTGACTGACTGTCGGAGGAACAAGTACCCTCCCTCCCGGCCTCCCTGATCACTACCATCGACGCAAGATATGACGGTAACGGAAAAAACGGCGAGGAAAAGAGATCCGGGGAGAGAACATGGAGGCGGGAGAGGGGGGTTGGGAAAAATACGCGTTGTCGGGAGAAGCCTTCAACGGAAGTCGACCAGCTGGCCGTACTGAGACAGCCAGCTCACTGGACGAAAGAGTTCAGAGGAGAAATAGCGAGCGGCCAGACGTGACCAATGCCTGCGGCTGACTCAAATCTTTCCGCTTCATCACGGACCCTCCGCTTCCTCCTCCCGTTTGGTGGCCCGCTCGAGAGGGAACCCTTCCTTCGCTTCTCTCTTGAGTTTTCTGTTGTGAGCTGAATGACCTTTTTTCGCCTTGCTCGGACGTCGCCGTTTTCGTAGCCGGAGATCTTCCGTTGCCGACGACGATGTTCCTGTTCTCCTCTTCTTGGTGCCCCGACACGGGCACGGGCGAGCCGAGGAACGAATGAGCGACGCACCGACCGACGATCTAAACTCCGGAAGAACTCAAGAGCCACCGTAAACGGGAAGGGCGGAACCATGCGAGCCAAAGTAGCGCGAAACGTGTAGGTGGAAGGGAAGGTTATGGAGAAGGGCGACGACGACGAAATATGGAGGGCGAAGGAGATAAGCATGGAGGGAAGACGTCCAGTCGGTTCACTCAATAGCTTCCTGTGCTCGTACCTCATCCACCAAACAAAGAACCCGGTCCGGCAGAGATAATCTTCACTTTGCTCACAGATTCCAACGAGCGGAAAGTCGGCCATCGCAACGGTGATCGTCGCCGTCTCGATCATGCCAGCGCCGTCGTTCCATGAGATTACGCAGGGAGCGAGCGGGTCCTCGCTGTCTCGGGTGCTCCGGGGAACAGAAGGGCTCAGCGGGCTCGCAGTCATATTCGACTGCCGTGAGCACAGCATCTCGATTCAGTAAACAATCGACGCAATCGTCATCTTCGTCGTTGTTGTTCCACAGACAGCCAGATGGTCAGACGACAGGCGGATTTTGTCGCTGGAGCCGTGAGCAAACTGTATGAGTCCACAGGCTCCATGGGGTCCTCGGGGTACACACCGCCATTCGAGTGGAGCGTACTCACATCGGCCGGTAATGTCTTGCTCAGCCGCAGCAGGGCAACATGTATGGACGTTCGTCCGTCCATCCATTCGTCCGCTGTTATTTATGCATGCAAGTGCGCGAGCATGCGCGCATCCATGCATACATGCCAAGGCCTGTTCTGTCCAGCTGCAGATAGTGATGGACGTTGAAGGTGACAACAAGAACGACGCTCATGATCGTGATGATGATGTTGAGGTGTTCCGGCAAACAAACGCACTTGTGCAAACAGGAACTAGCGGAGCGAGTGTCCGCACGCTCGTCGCGCCTCGCTCTGAAGCCATTTCCGAATTCGGCAAATTATTTGATCGCACGAATCCATCGTCAACGTCGAGGACGCTCGCGCGGCGCTCTCAAGCGAAGGCAACACGCCCGACATCTGCCACCAAAAGTTCCCGAGAGAGCTTTGTAGGGCTCTTGAACACGCCTGTCTAACGTTATTTGCGTTTTTCGAATTACAGATAGGCGCTCACATTCACCAGCTGCCATTGGCCAATATGGGCCTAGCAGGATTTCTGGCCGATCAGGCAGCCGCCGCGGCAGCTGCGGGAGGCTACGGAGGCTGCTGGGCGTGTCCCCCCGACCTACCTGGGTCGATTACTCCTTCCTGTGTACAGACACTCACGACGATTCCTTCGCTCGAGGAGTTAGATCACTTCGAGAGGGAACATCGGAAAGCGTTGCTCAACGATGTGAGTACTTGTCTACACGTATAGGAACTTATTTGTCATGAAGCAACGTTTCGTTCCCTGTGGACCTTTCACTCGTCGGTGGTCCTTCCGTTCCCGGGCTTTCCCTCGACAGCTTTCCGCATTCTATGCTACCCGAATTTTATGCCCTGCCAATCGCGATGAGACTTCCGAAAAAACACTCCACGCCTTGGACGAGGGTCGGAACCTTCGGAACGCGCCCGATCGAATGCTCGACGGTCCCGCTGGATAGAGGAGTGTACAGTTGGGAACGCCGCCTGACTAATACGGGGCTTAGTTCCGTCTATTCGTCCATTCATCCGTTTGTCCGAGGTTCCGACGACAGGGTCATTCTGAGGGCTCGCCCTGCGGTGCTTCGCTGCCCCAGATAGAAGAGGATTGGAATGTCACTCAATCAGCAGCCAGGCTCCGCATGGACGAGCGGGCGAACCAACGAACGAAGGAACGAACTGATGGACGGATGGATGCACGGACGGACGGACCGACCCACGAACGTAGCACCCACCGATCGTCCGGCCGACAGGCGCGAATCAAAAAGCTACGAGTCAGTGAGGAGTTTCTTCTTCGGTATCGAGGTGCTGACTCCGGCCAGAGTTTCGGCTTCTATTCCACCATCAGTCAGAGTCTGTTTCTTTCCTATTCCTGTAGCCTCTTCGAGTATTTCCATTGCGTCTTTTCTCTTCCACCGGTCTTACTTAGCTCCGCGGCGAGGGAGATACATCTGAGAGGGAGCTCGCTGGAAGAATTCGATGAGTCCGCTCCCGTACCAAATCCCCAATGAGCTCAATACCGCGGGGTTAGGCTTCCCCGAATAGTGGCCGCGGTGGGGTCGAAACATCCACGCGACGGTCCTCGGTACGCGCGCGTCCATTGCGAAGCGGGTTTGTGCATTCGCGAAACGATCGTTATTCATCTCGTTTCGTCCGTCGGGCCTCGTGGCAACGCCTGAGCTGGTCGCGGAACGATGCACCGTGGAATGTCGGAAAGAAGAACGCACGCTCCTCTGTTGCTCCGCGTATGTAGCTGTCTGAGTTAAGGCTCAAGGCGCGTCAGGAGCGAATTCCACCGTCAGTTCCAGAGGGATAAGGAGCTTGAAAGGGGAAACAAGGAAAACCCAGCAGAAAGGAACGGGACTGAATGACAGGGACCGGGCCGCAATGGCTGGGAGGCTCTATTTCTCATTTGTGCATCCTTCTTACAGAAATGGCGTCAGTTATTCGACAAGTATGATCCCGAAGGCTTCGGAGAGATTCCGTGGGACGATTTTCTACGCGCACTCGACAGCGTTGAGTTCGAAGACTGCGTCGATATTACAAAACGCGAACTATTTCGACTAAAAGCTCAAGATCGAAGGACCAATGCCATAACTTTCGACGATTTCATCGCTGTGGTGAGTTTCCAATGCCCCAAGCTCCACCCTCATACACCCGCCGTGAGGGAAGAGAGCCTCTGTCCTGATCTAATTTCGGGAAGATGATTGAGCCAAAGAGAGGGAAACGTCTGTACATGATGTGTTGGAAAGGCTTCGATGCTTGAAAACTTCCCGTGGAACGCAGAGATGCTCATTCCTTCTGCGCGATAGTTTAAACGCAAAAGCCTGCGTTTCCAGAAGTCTTCGGTCCAGAAGTTGCGGTCTCAAATTATCGGACTTAGTGTTTTCCTCTGAATGTCTCCTGAAACGAATTATAAAGTTCAGACCCTGAATCGGAGCGTTCGCTCACCCAGGAAAAAAACTTTATACTCGCGTTCCATGTATACCCCCGAGGAACGCCTCCAATCCTCGTATTTCTTGCTTGGTGCCCCGAGAACGAAGGAAAAGTGAGCGGGACAAGGGAGCGTCGCCTTGTTGCGCCACCTCTGAACGTGTTTTGCGAATTTTAGATGAGCGGAAAAAGGACAAGGTCTTTTGAGATGGCCGTGCACCAGAGGGATAGCTCGTGCGGATCGCTGTGGCTGCAGCAACAGCCCCTGCAAATGGAACTGGTGCATTCAGCCGGCCTGCAGAGCCTCCAAGGACTACAAGGTCTTTCTCACCCTCACGAACTCGGTCCAATGGGTGTCGTACAGCAGCTGAGCCAACACCAGGACGGAATTATCAGTCAGTTGTGCAGCACGCACTCTTCACAGGGAACCCCGAGTCACCACGTGCACGCTCACGTTCATCAGTCAAACGGTAAGTGAATGCTTGTTTGTTATGCGTTACAGCATTGGATGGCGCGCACGTTCAGTCGGTGCGCCATTGAGCGTGCCCGGAAAATTCCTTTCAGGATACAATCTGTCGTGATTGCTTGACGCGTATTCCCCGCTTCCGAGTGGAGTTCACTTGTTGCCCAGAATCGTCTCATGGGAACGAAGTTGAGCCAGTATCCGGTCCCTTTTCCCTATTCGAATCAAGCTTGTCCGAATACGCGTCCGGAGACATGACGTACCGACCATAAAGTTGCATACATGTCGAATCGCTTGGCCCGCGATGGAGATTCAGCTCCCCGCATGTCGACTCCCTCCCGCCAATTTCAGCTTGTCGCATCGAGAATATTGTCGTAGGGATGCATCCTATGTGTAGATAGCAGGCCGAGCGACAAACGAAGTCGACGGACGGTGTGAGGACGAAAGGACAAGGCCCGTTATCTACAATCGATATGTGTTGTCTTCTTTACCTTCCCCCAGAATCGATGTATTTTGACGGTCCAGCGTGCATGGAGCCCCACTCAGGCTTCAACGGGAACCCGTATCTTGCAGCCTCGGTTGCGGCAACAGCGTTGGCGTCTTCGGGCGATACTACCCAGGATTCGTCTGGGCTTGACGACTGCATAGCCGAAGACGATATTCCGGTGATTTCGGTGCGAAGAGCCGACACGCTGTTCTCTAAGATGGTCAACGTAATCGGTGGCGAATTCCTCCCGGACGATCGAGATCGGAAATACTATGCGGACAGCTACACCTGCTGGCCGCCGCCTTTGTTCGTGTTGTTCGTCACCATCTGCCAGGTAAGGATAAGAAGGAAGGCTTTCGGATGCTTCCGGTCAGTTAGTGTATAAAAGGCTGGCCGACAGCGATGCCGGCTAAACGGGGGAAAGAGGGGGGCAGGAGCGTCTTTATGGCAAGCGGGTGGATGAGTGGCGGGCTGTAGCGATTTCGTACAAGAAGCACCGAACAGGCGAGGAGGGGTGGGCAGCTGCTTGCTCTACTCACTTCAAGTCGGCTTAGCGAGCTTAGTCTATCCTATTCGAGGTCCTCGGTCCGCTGGAGAATGGAACGAGACTGCGAGGGAGAGGCGGAGGAAAGCTATTGCATTGCGAGAAGAAGCGAATCAACCTCTCCCGCGACCGCTGCTGTCGTCGTCGGATTGCGGTGGCAGGGGCCGCCGTCTAGTCATGCCGTCTCCTCATTTACATCTCCTGTAGCTTTTCTTTTCATCACTCCGGCATCGCTTTTCCGACGTCAATCCAAGTCCGCATTTGTCGCCTTGGCGTAGATCCCATCCGTTCGTTAAAGAGGTCGTCGTTGCTCCTTTTTGGATCGTTCATCACGCAAACGACGGCAAATAAAAGCTCCGAACTGATCCGTCTCGCTGTCATACCATGACGACTCTCTCGGCCGACCGACCGGCCGGCTAGCTGCCCGTTCGCTCGCTTGTCAGCTGACAGAGAGAGAGACGTGCTCACTTATTCACAACACATGAAACCTATTCTGGTATTGGCTCGTGACATCTGAACGAGCTGAATCCGAGACAGAGGACGCGGCTTACTGGCGACGGCTCGCGACATTTGCCCTGGGCACAGGACCGGCCCGAGGTTGACACCGATCGACCAGCCTCCCCTGCCCCGAGAGTCCTGCTGACGTTCCCCTCAGTTTTTCGGGCTCGCGCAAATGCAACCCGCTTTTGGGATTTCGCAAGAAAAAACTTCCCCGAAATTAATGGCTCGTGCAGATTGGAGGAACAACAACCCTGGGAACGAGGGTGCTTGCGCGATGGTGGAAATATTTTTCTAAAGCGAAATCGGCAGGCTCGATTGGGCTGATTTAGTACGTCCTCGTTGAGGGATTGCGTCACGGAGGAAAAATCCACGGTACTGCCACTTCGATTGCATCGGAGGAGGCCGGGGCTATCTCAAGAATATGGAACAGCTTGTAGACGAGGACACGGTCGTGTAATGAACTCCACGAAGACGATTGCGAGAGAAAGCAGCGTTCTCAAATCACGTAAATTGTGTCCGCATGACTGAGGGACTCCTCGAATAGGCTCCGCATTTTCGTAGATTCGTTCTAGCGATCAAAAAACTATTAGAATCGAACGCTCCGATGTGCGCGGAAGAGTTCCTATCAAGTCGACATCGGCTCCGCCTCTCGAGATCCAATTGCATCAGAATCGTTCGACAATCATCGATGCTGAACGATCTGCTCGTAAGTCTCCGCGACGACCGACTTCATCATCAGAAACGACTACTCCGAACGAGGGCGACGAACTGATCTTGGCAGACACTTGGTTACGGGAGGAGTCTTCTCTCTCGTGGATGCTGTCGTGTTCTCATGTTGCTCGTATAATTTTCAGATTGCTCTCTTCACGTACTACTCACTAACTGTCGGACCCGCAGGACTGTCGGAGCCCATCCCCGCTCAATCGATATTTATATTCAATCCAGCACAGTCGTTTGAAATATGGAGATATTTTTCCTACTTTTTGGTGCATAACGGATGGCTTCACTTGGTGTTCAATATCGTCATACAATTGTTTGTGGGACTACCCCTGGAAATGCTCCACGGCTCTTGGCGTATCGGTTTCATTTATATCGCTTCCGTGATAGCAGGTGAGTCGCGGAATTGTTCCCTTGGCACGGAATCAGGACACTCAAGACAGAAAAGACTTTGGATGATCTGAGTACGCCCAACGAGGAGAATCTGGAGCCACGAGCAGAAGCTCCGAGCGAGGAATCCGCCGGGGTCGATCGTGACCGACAAAGGGAAGCACACTCATTCCGTTCGATCGTTTCCTTCCAGGGTCGGTCTTCTGTTCCGTGGCGGATCCGTCAGCGTTCCTGATCGGAGCGTCGTGTCCCGTTTACGCCTTGCTGAGTGCCCATCTGGCGAACACACTCCTAAATCACGACGCACTCGCTGATTCCGGCCTTTCGAAATTTTTCTTCCGAATCACGCTGGTGTTCTTGCTCACCTCAATCGATTTCGGCTTCGCTCTGTTCGACAGGGTCTCGGAGCCGCAGGGAATCAGTATCACGTTTCTGGCGCCCTTCATCGGGGTCGCTTTTGGCGTCACCGTAGGTTGCGTCGTCATAAAGAACTACGAACAGAAATTGCGCGAACACGTGGCCTGCTGGATAGTGATGGTGGCCTACGTTGCGGCCGTCGCTGGTGCCATCGTCTACAACGTGCTGAACTTCGACACGTTCCGGCAGGCGTCTGCCGCGTTTTTCTGATTCGGACGGGGTGCAAACTCAGCTCAGGATCAAGGATACAAGTCAGCGAACTTTGTTCAAGCAATCGACGAAGAACGTCCATTAGGGCTTCTGGAGCAAAATGCAAACAAGGAACAAAAGTAGCGAGAAGAGAATGGAAACAAGGGTCTGGACGCAAGAGTAGCAGTACAAAACAATATTAGGCTTCCGGTGTCCCCTCTACTTGCGTTCATCCGAATAAATTCGACATGGAGAAGACATCACCACGACGAGACGAACAACAACAACAGTAACAACACCACTACCACCACCGACGGCAACAACAACAACCTATCATAGATTTAGGGAGTTCGCTGACGCGTCTGACGGAGCCGGATTGTACGCGCTCGAACGGATACACCGGATGCCGTCACGGCCAAGGGTTACAATAATCTGTTAAGTTTGTGATAAAGAAAATTTTCATTGCATCCTTGTGATAGCTCGATCAAGCGAAAGTCTACCGCGTGAAAGCATGACGATGATCATACAACTGCTCTTATGATTGGAGACTTCATTACCCGCACTATTATGATTCCCAAGAGAGCATCGACATCACCGCTGATGATTATTGACACGATACAGGATACCTACAGTGGGATGTTTTTTTCAAGCAGTGATCGAGAGCCTGGTTTGGATGGCAGAACAACACTCACTCACACGGTGATTCGCCACCGTCAGTCAAGTTGAGCCGCAAGAACCGGACTTTCAGATGGACGTTGATACAGCGATGAGAACAAGAATAACTAAGAGCAGATGGGAACACTCAAGCAAACGTCATGTCTCATCTACATGCGACGGAACAGAGTGAGGCGTTATCTTGTGACTTATTGAAACGAGGCACAGTGTTCCGAGCTGTCGTCGAGGCCTGTTGGGCCTTGTGGGTGCTTGACACGAATGTTGTCCGTACAAAAAGCGTGAGGGCCATTTGACTCGCAAACGAGAGTTTCTCAAACCATCTTCTAGTACAACCGCGTAGGAGGTGAGATACAAACTAGCGTGGCACGAGTCGCACCTATTCCTCCTTCGAGTGATTCCTCATCTCATTCCCCATAAGGGGTATAAGAAAGTTATCGGAGGCGTCCGCCTGTGGTTAGCTGGGCTGATTCTGACTTTCCGATGAGCTCCCCGAGTCGGGAAAGAATAGAGAAATTGTTGCACCCGGTCGATGATGCTGAATTCATAGATCTGGTCATCTTCGTCCTCAGAAAGCTCTCTCGAAATCGCTCCAGCAGTATTCGTTTCGGGTCTCTCCCGGACGACCCAGATGAATACATGAGAACGACGCCGAAGATATGATGACGGCGGAGAGAGACTGAATGGTGCGACTCGTGTCTGACGAGGTGTTTCTGGATGATGATGATGATGATTATAAAAATGGAAGGACACAAAGAACATGGATCCCTGATTTCTAATGTTCAGACCTTATTGGATCGAGAATTGAGAGTCTCTGAATCTTTTTGTAAATTGTACACACGACGGAAACGAAAGTGAAAAAGCGAGAAACTCGGAGAATTCCGTGAAAATTCTTTCCATACTCCGCACCCTGAAGCGATCGGAGAGATTTTGGATGATATTCTGTTGTCCAGGATGTTTCTTCACACCTACATAGTTGAACAAAGGAATGCGCCTACCGAATTGATTATGTATCTGGATGATGATGATGATGATACTAACAATAATGGATAATGATGGAGATAAATTTAAATATTTAGATATATGAAGTGAACCTATTACGAGGATTATGAGATCCGATGGAGGATTATTATGGAAAGATCGCTGGAAGGAGCCAACACTCAGAACAAGAACTACCCGAGCAGAAGAGAGCCCGTTGAATGAGGACAGACGACTAGTTAGAGACTAGAATGTCTCCCAAAGAAGAGGCGAACTCATGCTCTTTTGATGACGTATTTAGATGTAAATGGTGGCTACGACAGGTTTTAGCTAGAGCTGTCTGTTACGAGGGACAGCGCCACTCTGGAAGATTTCGAAAGCAAGAACCTTCATCGTGTAAATTCGCTTTATAAATGACGTTCGTCAGTTGACAATCAATTTCTCCGGTGTTTTCTATCGACGAATTGTGTTCCTCTGACCGTCCTAGCTTTCCGAGTCGGTCGCGCTCTTGAACGCTCTTCGCAGGTTCTCCCTCCAGTGCGGTCGAAGTGCACAGCTAGGCGAAGAATATTGCTTCCGCTTGACCCTCCATCCACTTAGCATGTAGACCAATGCAACAAAAACGAGGCATGCATCTTGCATAGCTGAGCAGCTCGTTCGTTCATCTATTGGCAGTTCATCAACGGCGGGCCAGCTGCCGCCGGTCCCTCTGCCTCCTCGGGATGAGGGAGAAAATTCTGCTACAAGCATCGAGCTCTAATAAGGCTTGCAAAGCCGATACTAGTGATGTGGTTCTACGGTTCGGGGCGTCTTTGTGCCTCGAAGGTGAGCCCCGCACGAGTCGTAAGGAGCTTGTTCTACCTCGAAGCTTATATTCATGCCGGTAACATGCCCACAGAGTCGTATAAGGGGGAATTCCCAGTACCATGTGACTCCTATGGAGGGACAGAATAGGAAGCCCCACCGGAAGAACGATGGAGGCCACGGACGCAAGCCCACGCGGTGATTGATTACACGACTGTTATACCGATCACAGATGATTTATTTACAAATATAGATCCGTCTCCGGCGAGAATCCGGTGGACTCGAAGGTTAGGAATAGGTACAAGACATCTGACACAGAATTAACGCTCATGGACTGATCATTGAACTCGAATGATACGTAGAGGAAAGGAGGAAACTTCCGACTCCTCGATTCGTCTTTCTCTACATCCCTAATATGAGAAGCCAGAAGTCGGATTCGTTGCGTGCCCCATCCGAAGATCTGCAGGGATCACATTTCCGGGTTGGGCCCCTCCAAGTCTGACAAGACACGAACAGATCCGCTGCCTGCTGAATTCGATCTCCGCTTGCTAGTTTGTTCTGCGTTCCGAGGACCCTCCGTATACTCCGTCGACACGTCCCATCGTGCCGGAGGCGGCCGTTTTCCATAAGAGCATCTCACGCAACAACAGAGGATTCTCTCCGTTCACAGAGGTCAAGCAAAAATAATCTCGATTCATTTCATCCTTCGGAGATGAGAGATGCCACTTGCCCTATCGGTGAGAGAATGTATCGAATTGGAGTCTTCTTTTCCTCCGGAACCGGTGTGGATGCGTGATTGGGATCAGCAACTCGTCGCACATAACCTCAAATTCGTGAAGCGTTTGACTTATTTCGGGATCTTTCCGAGCGGGATGCATAGCGATAGATTCACTGCTCGAATGAGTTGGTTACAATGCAAGAATCCGTTCTTGTCGGAAGAGAGCTCTTCTCGAAAAACTCAATCAATTTCGAACGCTGTCAATGCTTGTAGTATAAGGTAAGTCGATCGTCTGAGTCAATCAAGATAGAACAGATACACACATCCCCTGGAACTCAGCAGATTTTGGAAGTCTCCAGAGTATTGTGGGATTAATGGCAACTTGCCCAAAAATTGTAGAATATTGATTCAGGAATGCCTCACAATGGGTGCTTAAGTGGAATGAACTGCTATGAGGATTGCGAGTATTTGATGGACCCGGAAGGCCGTGCGTCGTACCTCGCCGGATAGAAATATATGCTACGGCGAGCCGATGGGCTTCCGACCGGCCATGGCTGCTTTGGTGTATACTGGAGCTTCACCTCTTGTAGTATTCATATCTCTCTCACTTTCACGAGAAATCGACTGTATGATCCAGTCAAAATGAAATGCTGTCGAGGAGTTGCATTCGAGCCCTGCCGTGAAACGAGACGAAAAAAATTCACCGGGAGCTTCGCAGCAAAACCCTCCGCGAAAACTCTGAGTGTCACTCCTGCGTAGGTCGGACGTCGCGCCTCCTCGAGCTTTTGGTTTTTTTTCTCTCCTTCCCTCGGGTCCTATAAGGATGGACAAGCCCGGCGCGCCGGGGCGACGCCGCTATCTCGATGCAGTGTGTGCGCACGAAAGGAGATTTTGAAAGCTCAGGTCGACTCAGTTCGGAGAATCGCTTTTCCCGTTTTGTTTTCGTCGTCCGTCCGTCACGCAGAAGGCGTCCGAACGACTTCCCCGGGTCGAGCTCGATGCACGGAATACATGGCGTGTTTGCGTGTGACGAAATTTTGGCAGGGTGAACATAAAGCTTTGTGGCTGTTATCTGGTGGTGTATTCTGTGGGGTGAGAAACGTGGGTTCGTTTGTTTGCTTCCGAAGAAGAACAAAAGACTCTTGCTCCCAATCGCTCCAAATCCTTTCTCTCGATTTCCCATACTTTCCCAGCCGCACTCGTTTCCAGTAGTAGTCTCTGCCGAGAGCGAATCATTCCGCGGGCGTGGACGGCAGAGGTTCGGTGACTCCGACAGTTTGACAGACCCATCCCGAGAAATCGACGTTTTCGTTTTCACTGCTCTTTATCCACGGGTGATCCATAAGGGTTTTCAGATCACCTCGCTCCGTCGGCTCACGTTTCAAGCTGCAATTTCAGACGGGAAACGAGTCAGTATCTCTTCAACAACTCCGATACATCACCAAAATCCACAATCCATGCTGTATTATGAACCTATCCCTGTCTCCGATTTCGGAGTCCAGAGGGGGTGTTTGCCATCCTCGGCAGAGAGGCTGAACGCTCGAAGCGAGCGGCGACCGCGAAAACTCAACAACGCACCGAGTGGCGGTACCGTAGGTCTCACAATGCCCTCTTCGCCACCGAAAACTGAATGGCCTCGCCGCCTCCGTCGCGCGGTCCACCACGAATTCGCCGCGCTCTTCGTTCAACCAGGCCTCTGCCATGGGTCGCGCTCCGGGAACGTTTAAAGAATCGCGTGATGTGCGAGACGCTCCATTAAAACATATATACGGCCTGCGAGCTCTTGAAAGATTGGATTGGAGTTCCGAAATCTCTGTCAGACTCCACGCGATGAACACCGTGTCTGGGAATCGGTTCACCCTTTCTAAGACCCTCCCCCCGTTTGGGTCGACCGCAGAAGATGCGGCCACGCGCCATCGGTTGAGTATTGATCAGGTACAGCACAGGCGGTGGCGACGTTGTTTCCGGAGACGTCTGTCGGATCGGCGCTCATAAACGCTCAACCTGAGCCTCTCTAGCGACGCCGTGGAGGATTGCGCACATTTTGATCTCCCTTTCACCTAAGGACGCGATGTCGTTTATCCAGCTTACCATCGATCGACGAAGTCTTTAAAGTCATCGCTGAAGACGCCTTGGGGAACCGTGGGCGGAGGTTCATTGACAATGTAATCGAGCAGCTCGAAGATGGACATTGTGGCCGGCTGTTGATCCTGGGGGTTGTTTAAGGGATTGTACTGAGATCCGAAGATGGCCGACAGCTCCTTCGCGTCCGGTGGAGGGATCGGATAACGACCTAGGGCCATCTCGACGAGAGAGAGACCCAATGACCAGATATCTGATTGCACCTGCGAACATTGAGAGAAAAGCTTCAGCGACTGATCTAGCGGATCAATGGTCCGAGCGTTCACCATTCGGAAGAGGAATAAATTCGACTCGACGGTGGGAAAGAGAGAGAACGCCATATCGAACGGAAGAAATGACTACGATGGTAATTTGTGGCCCTTCTGATTCGGTGGAGGTCGTCGGTCGGTGATCGGCGGGGAGATATATTGCCTCCCTTGCTACATAATTGGGCGCTGAGGGGGCGGGTGGCAGGAGAGAAAGATATCGAATAGCATGAATGGCGACACTGATAGCCAGTTTGGCAGCGTGTCTTCCCCGTCTTGGTGGCAGCCCTCGCCGCCATGGTTTCCGCTTGCAAGACATAGTCGGACGCTCGATCGGCTCTTAACCCCGGCGCAGACGATCGACAGACTCGCCTGTTCTAAAGAGTGGGAAGGGAACCTATGGTCGCAACTCACTGTGTAATGGGTGCCCTGAAGTCTCTCGGGCGACATGTAGGAGCGCGTTCCAACGAACGAGTTCGCCATCGAGTCGATCAGCTGGCCACTCACACCAAAATCACATATTTTGATTTCTCCTCGACTATTGACGAGGACGTTGCTGGGCTTAATGTCTCGATGCATAATCTGATGCTTCTCGCGTAAATAGTTCAGACCTGGAACGTTGGGGGTCAAGTCGTCGACGGCGTCATCATTCATTCGTTGTCCTCACCATAATGTTTTGCTGTTTTTATTCATTTTTATTATTCGATCGACAAGGGCTCGCTGAGTCTCGTTTCATGACACCATGCGAGAGATGCCGATCCTTGGCCTAACCCACCTTTGAGAATGGCGATTGTCACTTTGCCGAGAATATTCTCAGGTATTCGACCGGCTTTCTTGAGAACGAGATCGAACGAGCCGCCGTCCATGAACTCCATGCAGACACTGATCTCTCCGTCGCTGTAGAAAGCGCCATAGAAACCGACGATGTGTGGCGAGTTGCACTTGTGAAGCACTTTGAGCTCTTGGATTATCTGGGTTCTGATACTAGGCTTCACTTCTAGATGAATAAGTTTTCGAGCCATGATGAGTCCGCTCGGTTTGTGCAGCACCTGAAAGTTTCCAGAGCCACTCGATCGTATTTCGAGCTTCGACAAAACCGAGAATTATCGAGAAAAACCGCGTCGCTTCACTCCGCTTAATCCAACGCGCAGTCGAGACCCTCGACCGCTCATGGGGACCGCATCAGCTAGCCCGCGAATCTGGCGGATCGATCCGGGAGTTTTCTCGCTAGGAGAGCTTCCTCGAGGAGACTTGAAGGATTGGAATTTCTCTCGAACCGCAACAGCTAAGAAGCCGCAACAACTTTAGCCATGCTCCCGCTTCTGAAGGCATGGCAGAACTCTACAGTCCTACGCTTTGAAAGCGTTTCCCTGATGACGATTCACAGAACACACTCAGCCGTTCGCAAACGTGGTTTGAGTGTCCCAAGCGGTACAGCGAGCCGGAGAGATCCGATTTTCCAAGGGATTGCCTGAGATGCAAGCGGGTAGCCACTCAGTGCGTCGAATCGGTCGTTACCGCTGGAGTTGCTGCTTCTGCCGTTGTTGAGAGTAGCTCGTTTGCTTCGTGTCCGTTTGTACTTAGGTCTCTTCGGTGGGGTTTTCTCTTTCCTTCAATCGAGCTCACTCACTGTTCATATGGCAGCCACGCTCGTGAATTATTGACATGGACCGAAGAACGGTCGGAGGAAACTCTTCGGCAGCCGCCGGTTGGCGGGATGCCCTTCTCGATCCCGACTGATTGCGCGCCCGAAAAAAACGGGAGACGCCCCGTGACAGCAATCGTAAGCTGTTCCGAGTGGTCGAGACTCACTAAACGGAATCGTGAGTCCAGAAACTCATTCCGAACGACTCCGGAGTTCCGACGATCCGTGGAATCGATTCTGGGCTTGGCCTGCGGCAGCCGCGGAGTGTTCAAAGACACCTTCGTGGCTCACAGCGCAGTATCAAATATGAGCGAGCGTTCCGATCGGAAACCTCGAGGGAAAAATACGTTCTCGTCGTGAAGACATTCCTTTTATCGTTACCCCTCCACAGGACTCGGGATCTTCTCTTCCAAGCGCTTCTACAGCCGGTCGCGACATGGGTTCTCAGCTCTCCTGTTCCCTGTCCGTTTCCAGAGGAATTTCATTGCGGTTTTACTGTCATTCGTGATCCGACTCCCTCGTCTCTTTCCGGAATTATTTCCGAATCGGGATGGGATCAGTTGGACTTACCTTATTAACCACGCCTCCATTGCCTGACCCGATCTCGCCGAGGTTCTCGAAATCCTCCACGGTCAGATCGACGACTTTCTGTTTTTGTGAGATGAAATGCTCGAGTCGTTTCCGTTGTTGATCGTCGATATCCAAGCCTTCCAAGGTCTGTCGAAGAGCCTCGAGACTCGTGTCGACGTGTCGGGTCCTGCGAAGAAGCACGCGGTTCAGCATCCGATTACCTTTTGGGACTGAACAAATTCTCCCTATCATCCTCAGAGCTCATCTCCCCCTCCCTCTCTACTGCAGAAATAACGGTCCCGTCGATTCCAGGGTTCTAAAGTCCCACCGAACGAGACCTGTCCCAACCTTTGTCGTATTGCGTCCATCTGGGAGCTCAAGTCGCATTGGGGGATGCCCGTTCCGAAGACGAGGTCTAGGGGCTGGCTTTAAAACTCAGTGGGGTTCAAGGATATTATGTATGTTCCACGAAAGAACTCGATCCCGTGGATTTCGATAGTCTTCTGGGAGAAGCACACATACGCTGCGATGGAGACCTCTAAACAGGTACGCAGCACGCTTCTCGGTAAAATATTCCTCATGGCGCGTACATGTTATGTTCGGACAGGATTGAATCAGCGGGACCCTCCCCGGCTGGGTCCGTCCGGAAAAGCACAGAATGTCCCTCACGCTGAGCACACCCTTCCGCTTTATTATCGGCCGCCCCGTTCGCTCCCTGCAGGAACCTGGGAATGATCAGCTGTTCCCCGAAGCTCTATGCGAGGGAACAAGGAGCGGGCGAGCTGTAACACGCGAACCTCGACGGAAACTCGGCGCGTTCGGAGGACCTTCTTGTACGATATGAATTGTATCTCTCTCGGAAATTTCTCCGCGGCTCCGTCGCCAGGTTCTCTGGTGTGATTCGCAGCTCCCTCGCCCCATGACACAAAAGGAAAGAATGAAGATCTGCGCCGAACGCCCCTTCGCAATGGGACTAGTGACTGTGTCGATCGAGACGAATTATTCATTCGAGGGAGTCTCTGGAGTGAAATTTCAAGAGCAAGGGAAACAGGAAAGGAAGAAGCTTCCTAACGCTCCCGAGCCTGAGCCGGAGCCGTCAAGACAAGCTGTGGTTGGAAGTTTGAACGCTCGGAGTCTTCCCGTCACGTCCGTGAGAGGAGACTTCCCTGAAATTGAGAAGCCACAGGAGCAAACAATGAAAAATGCTCCGACCGTTCGACGAGCTTGGATTTGGCTTAAGCTCCGTCCAAATCCCGAAAGTCGCTGTAAAACAAACTCTGCGGATCTTCTATGCCTCGGAGAGTTTACGAACTCTTGACCTTAGCTCAACCTTCGAGGTTTAGGTACGCTCTTATTTTCGGAGCGAAGTCACTTGTTGTCAACGGCTTTCGATTCGCGGTGTCTCAGTGAGGAAGGGAACGGAAGAAAATCAAGGAAGTTCTGCGACTTTATCCGGATGTCTTAATAAATCATTCAGCTCCGAATGCACGAATAAAAACAACACTCAAGTATTCGAGGGAGAATCCTCCGGAGAAAGGAGCGTCCTCACGAGTCGTTCGCGGAGGAATTCTCTCTCAATTGGTGAAGGCTTCCGTCTGCGATGGTACCGGGGCACAAGCAGCAAATGAACGAGTAACAAGAGGGCGGAGGAAGCTCTGCGGGAGAACACTCGAGGCGATGCGGGAAGCAGTCGAAGATTGTCATTGCATTATCGTTCCGACGGGACTCCCGGAGGATCTACATACGAGGCTCTTCACACGCGAGTTCTCTTCGTAGGTCCCGCTCAGCCCGGCTGGGCGGGCCAGCTATGCTGTGTTTACACCCGTTCTTCTCTCCTCCGCAAGTTCACCTCGGATCAATATTTTCCGAGCGGGGGTTTTCTGGGTCCGCCCCATACCGCTCTCCGTCCTGATATTGGCTCGCGATCCCGGCTCGTGGTCGAGAGTACAATTTTTCGCTCGATCCCGTTGCGTTTGGAGAGGGCATTCCCCCATGCACTTCTACTTTTTGAGCGAGGAGGCGGACTTACGCAACGGGATCCTATAGGACTGAGGGAGCTCACGACGACGAATTCGACAGGTACCTCAGTTTCTACGTGTGAGGCTCGCGTACCGGAAGGACGACAGTATGCTCGTGCTGCAGAGGAATTCGGGTTGAGGGCGGTCGTTGTAACGAGGTTTCACCCCAGCTCTCACCTGCGAGAATGCGAGTAGGACAAGGTCGCTCTCGCTTGCGATCTCTCGCAAGAGGAATTATGCCCTCCGAAGTATCTCGAATCGGAAAACTCGAACAAAATATTCTGGCCGGAAGGGGAGAGGAGGGCTTATAAATATTTCAAAAGCAGACGAATAGATCGATATGAATTTTAGATCATTGCTCGAACGGAGACCTGCCAAGCGACTGCGATTCACCGACTCGCTGCGATGCCGTAGTTCCCAGCGGACCGGAAGGAAAAAGGAACGAAAAAAGCCCGAGCTCTCTCCTCCCTGGAGTATAAAAACGTTTCGAGTCGACATCATTGATTCGATGATGTTTGGAAGGAATCCAGCTGGCGGAACCGCATGGAATTCCTCGAGGAACCGCATTTCGCAGAAGGGAACGTGTCCACAAGCGAAACCGGAGTCGTGACGCTATTACAAAGCTAACGGTTCCGAGCGAGAGGGAAATTCCGGCCGGCCATCTTTCACAATGTTGCAGCGACCTGTTATCGCGCGACGGAATGAGCTCAGAGAAAACGTGTAGAAATGTGGCGGCACCGAGGGATCACCGGCTCGATGCCGGCAGGTGTGAAATTTTTATCAAGGCATATGACACCCTGAAGAGGTGGCCAGAAGCACAGGCTGGTGTTTGTAGAACGGGAAAAAAACCATCGACATTGACTGAGAGACCGAGACGACGAAGAAGAGCAGAAGACGTCCCCGAAGGATTGGATGTCGATGAGAATCTACGACCACTTCTAGAGGGGAGAACGCTCGGGTGTACCTCGGTGGGGGTCGACGCCGCACAACAGATCATGGACAGAAACTGTCGGCATGTGTCGTGAACGATAACAAAGTATATGTTGTTCTATGCATTGAGAGAGGACTTGAGGGACACGGTGCGAACGCCGGTCTCGATGCCCGCAATGGAATGACGTGGAGCGATTGAAGAGCCGAGATCGACGGCGGCCGCAAGGACGGTGCGTAATCGCGGAGTGAATATCTCCGAACGATTCCTTCACGCTGAATGAATATCAGCCGAGGCGAATAACAGCCAATAAGACACATCTTGGACTTTCATGCTTCCTTTTGGCGATTACGGCGATTCCATCTCACCGGTGCTGCAAGCCGCCCCCGCTGACGCGCTTCCAGCGCACCGAAGGATTTCAACTTCTGCGGCTTCTAATTTCCACAAGTGGCCTCCGATCCGTAAGCAGTTCTGCGCTACAAGGATTTCAGCCTCGGGCAGGTGGATTGATCCATGAACGGCTAGACGGCTCGCTAGAGCTTATGAAAGGGAAGAGGAACGTTGACGACGACCGACGGCAGCGCGGCGGCGCAAAGGGGAACGACCAAAAGCTTTCTCGTTTCGCCGTGCGCAAGCCACGAACCATAAAATCTCTCGGCGAGAGCACTATTTGTGCTTCCTCCCTCCGTCGACGACCGCGGGCCGGTACAATAGGACAGCCGATAAATATCCGTTTGTCAAACTGGGGCCTTTTCGGCGGCCAGCCGACCCACCCGCCCGCCCGCAGTGACGGCATCGGTTACGGCGCGCCGCTTGCAGAACGCGATGTTCTGTTGGAGACATGTTATTATTATGAAAAACAAGAATGGCACAGAGGATGTTCGCAGACCGGAGTGATGCAAATACGTAAGCGGAAGACATATGCGAGAATCCGTGGAAGAGGAACAAATTGGCATGCGTGCCAATCTGCTCCGGTCCAATCTGACCGCGACGGCTTCGAACAAGAAGGGCATTATACATGTCGGAGTAGCTTCCCTCTGGAAAAAGGAATTCGAGCTCGGAGGATGGCCGATTATAAAAAAAACTCCCATGTCCTCCACCTCCCATCGTAGGTACATAAACTATGTATGTCAATGCTCTTCAAGTCTGTGCATCATCGATTGGTAGACGTTTTCGGAACGCTCAGCTCAGGTCCCGCACAGAAACGCCTAGAGCTCGGGGGAAGATGGATTCGATCCCATGTCTTGCTCTCGCAGCCAGTCGAGGAGCGAGAGCGAGCTTACTCACTAGAGCGTAACGTCTTATCACGAGGTCTCGAGGCAGCGATTCGTCTGAGGTAATTCGTCACCATTATCGGACGCGTTCGCTGTTTCACCGGATATATGTTCAAGCAACAAGAAACGATATAAACAATCAGTCGTTGAACGTTTTTGTCTATCGTCTTCTATTCGCTTCGTTTCATGCTGCTCAATATGCATCGTGCGAAAGAGAAGAACAGTCTCCTCTAACCACTTCCCGTGATTGAACGTCGGATATCCACAATGCCGACGAGAGATTTTTCTCGTGCCGAAGCCAACCGACCGTGGCCGTTTTTGAGTCAATCTCGCCTAACAGGGTCGAAGCCTGGAGAAGTCATGCATATTCCGGCTATTTTGCGTGCACGTCAGATTGTCCATTAGACGATAGGGGTAAGAGAGTACGGATTCCAATCGCTTTCCCGTGCCCATCGACCGAATATTATTGTTCTCGTCGGAGGGACGGGAATTATGCTCGCATCCAGGCAATCCTCAATCGCGGACCGACAAACGGTTGACTGAAGGCATCGATCGCTCCTCGCGGAAACCTCCTCTAGATTCAAGGTATTCATGATCGTGGATTGGGTATTGGCCCGGTGGAAGGATACATGAAGCGGAGTGACTCGACGGAATCACTCCGAGCACCGTCAGATTCTGCAGCCGAATGAGATGACACAGTTCGAGCGATAGGCGAAGTTCCCGCGAGTCTTTCCTCAAGCCTCTCCGCGAGGAGCGATTCACTCCTTATTCGGCCGCAGAATCTGAGAGTGACTGAAGTGATCCCATCGAGTCACTCTGCTCCTCGTATCCTCCGACGGAGCCAATACGTGATCCACGATAAGCGAATCTCTGAACGATTCGAGTTTCAAGGACCCGAACAAGATTCGGCTCGGAAATGATCTCGGATCGACCCCGTGTCCCGCATGCTCCCGCTCTCCGACGACCGACTCCGAGTATCCCGGTGATGAAGCTCTCAATGTATATTCATGTATCCGACCGGGAAGCAAGAGATACCGTTCGGAGGTCTGAGAAGGAATCTCATCGAAGAAAATCTTCTGAATAGTCGACGCCAGACTGAAAATTGATTCGATTCATTTTCCGGTTTACGGTTCCCCCTACGCCCTGGCGCGTTGTCGATCCTCAAAGTTACCGGCCGGAGCTGTCGCAAAACTTCAAGTCGTGTGCTCAGGTCCAAAAGAATCCAATTCTCCGGAAAGCTGGATATGGTTTCAATATTGCTCTTCTCCGCCTGGAGACAGGCACGCACTGAGACCCCGGTCACAGTTTCCGGGACGCAGGACCCCGTGGAACCTACTTTGACTTGGCGTCCTACTGGTGGACACAAGCTTTGTCCGTCTCCCGCTGAGCTCCTACTGCGCCTCCAGAGCAGCCGAAAACAAAAACCCGACTCCACGATGGCTCACTTCGCAGCTGATTCGAAGCGCAGCTTTCGTGCCCAGCAACAGCGATACCCAAGCAATTCTCCGGAGCGGAGCCTTCAAACTTCAGATGAGAATCCTTCCCCTGAACTTATATTCGGAATCTGGGTCCCCATTGACGTGGATTGGTCAACATTGACAATATTGTGAGCTCTTCCGCTGCCTGGTTCTGGGAGAAGTTGAAATTCCGCCAATCGACTCGGAAGAAGGGCCGCTGCGATCCGGTGACGCGAGCAGAAAGCCGACAACCAGAAACTTCAGTCGTAGGTTACCAGAAAGTTGCGGACTTCGATAGAGACGCTCGCTCGCGCGGTCAAAGACAGCGCCAGCGGTGGCCCGGCGAGAGGTATAACTACGCGAGCAGAAGCGCCGAATGCTCGGTCGGCAGCCCGCTGGTCGAGTCTCAGCGTCGCCGGACTCGTTGGCCACCGGATGACTCGACTTTCAGCCGGGCTGTAGGTTGGTCGTTGGCTGCGTGCTCTTGTTTCAAGCCGCTCGCTTGAAGATTCCGTACCTCAGAGCAATCGCCCATTCGTTTGTCTGCGATTCACTCTCACGGCGGACAGTCATCTTCACAGTTTTCTGCCGAACTCTTCCGAATTTGACGGATGGTCTAATAGGACTGGCGCTGAGTCAAGCTGGTCGCACGCGCTCGCTCGTTTGTTGCTCCGTCCGGACTCTTCCCTTGACAACGTCCGACCACGGTCGGAAAGGAATGAGAAGAAAGAGGAGCGGAAAATATCTAGCCTCGGGCTACCCCTCGCTAGGGAGGAGTCGTTGCCGTCGGGACGCAGCGAACGAAGAGAGAAATGATGGAAAATATGCTCGCGCATTCAAGCGAACGATAATATAACACTTCGTTACCGGGCCATGTTCCATATGATATGCTGTACTTTTCTCAGTCAGAAAAACCTTCGTCAGGATGGGACCGAGGATAATTGTTCGTGTCCGGGCCGCGAAAAGTTTCTGCGGCCCCAACCAGGCGAGCCTGATGTCTTGAGACTAGATCGGAGAGCGGCGAGAGTAAATGGGAATATCGAAACATTCTCGGCGCGGAGGGGGGTCTCTGGGGTGAAATTCGAACGCTCAGATCGGGATTGAATATGTTAGCAACAGTCGACTGCAGAAGTCGTAGCTCTTCGGAACCATGTTCTGACTACTCATTCCGAGACGTCGGACGACAAAGCATTCGAAGGTTGGCACTTTCCTTTTAGAATAGATGTGCCCCGACAAATCACACTTGGCAACCCCGTTCGGAGTCTGAGCACGGGACGAAACACAAAAATCAATTCATGAGCGGGACCCGAGGCGCCTAACTTTGTTTGCTCGGGTAAGGTCGAGGGTCGTCAACCGGAAGATTGAGGCTCGCGTCAAGAGCTATAAGTGCGTATATGGAAGGAGCCGAGTCGAGGAGACAGATTAATAAAAGGCTAGGGAGATGACTTAATGACACGGCTCAAAAATTAATGGATTTTTCTCCAGACACAACTCTTTCGAGGAACTCCGATTTTCCGGCAGAGTTTCCGTCTGAGGCGCGGCGCGGATCCAATAGCGCGATGAATATTAACACCGATTCCCTCGGAGCTCGTCCGACATATTCGGTTGGAGTTCCCTCAACTTGACGACACGAACTCCCGATAAGGGATATTATCATGCACGCACAGCAAAATCGTCGATTGCGCTCATAACACCCTCACTGCAGCGATTCCAGACGGATACTACCGAGCCCCCGGGTAAAGAGAGTCCTCCCGCCCTCGAGACTCGGATCGTGTGTACTCAAATTCGGTCGAACAATGGGCGTTCGTTTAGAGCTCGGAGAATTTCGGCTCCCCCCCGTGTCAGATTGGAAGGACGTGTTCGCATCCGGGCTCGTATCGAATGCGCCATAAAACGGAAAGAACGAAAGGAAGCCGAAAACGGTGGCCAGTGCTCCATAAACAGGCGCGGTCCGGGAGGATGCAAACAAGTGTCCGACAGAAAATTTCCGCACGCGTTTTCTGCGTGGCATCGACAACCACTTGTAAGATCGCCAGGTCGGCATCCCGTAACGGTCCACAGCGACTGCAGCGACCGTAGCTAGAGTCCCTCAATACTCGTCAATCAGCTTTTCGAGACTCTGACGGTCCAGGGTGTCCCGCAATCACCTGGCTCGTCCCTCGTCGTCCCGCTGTGCCCCGCTTCATCTTCGAGCAGAGCGTGTCGCTTTGGTAACTCACTCATTGATTTTGTCGTCCAGAAGTTGGTCGAATGGCTCAATTGGAGGCAGCGTTAGGTTGAGTTTGTTTTTCGACGAGCTGCTTCGAGTAGTGGTCATGGCGATTCATTCACCTCACGCACCGCAAGGTCCGCAGCTGCAAAACTCTCCCTCGGCGACGGGTGCTGCTGCAGATCTCAACTCCGTTTCGTTGTCGATGCCTCTGTTTGCCGGGCTCCGCTTGGGACTCGATTCCAGTTGTCGCTTCCGCTCGTCTGGTGGCAAGTCGGAGGACCCGTTCACTGACTCACTGAACTGACAGCTCACAGAATAGGGGACTTTTTCCGGCACCGATCAGCCGTCGGAGCTGCTGCTTCTCCGCGTGACTCGGGGTCTATCGAATCTTCATCAGGACTTCAGCGTTGTCCATCCACAAAGCTTCTTATAGTTCTAGTGGTTACACTAGAAACGATCCTCGAGACGGCAGTGGTGGAGTAGAGCCTGCTCGCTTGCTCGCTTGCTCGCTTGCTCGCTTGCTTGCCTGCTTGCCTGCTTGCCTTCTCTTTCTCGCTGCTTGCTTCCTCCGGCTGGTGAGCGAATGAACGCATTTTTGTTCGTCCAGGACGAAGAGCGAGGGCGCCCGCTCGCCCGTCCGTCCGCTGCTTACCAACCTCAGTGTACCGCTACCATCGCGACCTGACCGGGATCGATTTTAACAAAACTTGATACAGAGTCAGACCTGAGCGCGGGAGTCGCCGTGACCGGGGGATTTCATGGGCAAACGCGAAGTTAAAAGATATGAGCCCTCGAAGATGGTCCGCTACGCATGTTCGGGCCGGGACCTGCCATCGCGGCGGCCTCTGTTTATGTGGTCACACATGCGACACTGCTCGGCCCCGTGTAGCGATTCACATCCGCGCGCGGTACGGCGTCGGCATCGGCCTATCGCTCGGCATATGGGTCAGGCACGGCACTCATACGAGACGTCCATCAATCACACTCTATTTCATAGATATTCGTTCATTACTGAAATGACTAGTGGAGGTGTACGGGGCCGAATAGGCATGTAAAACAAAGAAATTCTCCGCAGTAAACGACTTTCAGGAGGAGAAATTCGGCATGGGCTGAACACTTTGCGTCGGGCGATTTCAGAGATATGAATAAAATTTGACTCAAGCTCTCGAAAAGGCCGATGTGCTCATTGAAGTGGTCCCCGGCGCACTCCTATGCGTACTTCCACATTCTGGAGAACCTCGGGTGCTAGACCTGATTAAAACAAACGCTGTGGATTTTGATGATGAAACACCTATTGCTCGGTCTCACGGGCGACCGGACCCTGAGAAATAAATCCCGACAAGCTTCTATGATGATTTTAACGAGAATCTCGTACCGTGCCTCCTCTATTTCTCCTTTGAATGTCAACGTGCGGTTTCGAATGGGCTCGTATTCGGAGCCACTTTGATTCGCGTTCCCAACGCACTCTTCGGCCAAGTTCATCCCTGTGAAGTTGTCGTTTATCTGGAGAAGGTCTGAACGAGGATTAGATGGATACCTCGACGAGTTCCTCTCCGACCATCTCGCGGATCTTTCGGTTCTTCTCACGCTCGCCTAAGCCACGCTGAGCGTGCCTCCGGATGATTTCAAGCGTAGATTCTCTGGTGCGTTCATTTTTCAGGCACTTCGTCCAGCCTTCGGTCTGACGGAAATCCCAGATTTTCTCGATCTGTTCTGATGTGAACTTACATTCGATCGGGGACGATACGGCCCGAGGCCATTAAGCAACCGCCTGCTCGTCATAAGCCGCGTACCCCACGTCATCCTCAAGGAGGGTCTCCGATTCGTTTTCTTCTTCAACGGGGCATCCCTCGTCAAGCTACGGGGTTGGACACCTCTCGGCATCCTGCGAGGAACCGGGATGCTCAGCGGTTTCTGGGATTTCATCCCCGATGCTCAAAGGAGGAGCCGGTCCTTCGTCGACATCCGTCGTTTCATCAGCTCTTTGCCACAGAGAGCTCTCTGCGCCTCTAATACATTACAACATTCCCGCTCCTCACACGATTCTTTTAGGTAACGATTAATTTGAAATTGCCCTCTGGAATAACGACGTTGCAACTGCGCGGTATTTTCTGAACAGTCAATCTTTTCCCTACATGTCGCCGATTGCAGCCAGCTGGAGTCTGTGCTTTGGATTCGGCGCTAGAGTCCTACGGGGATGTAGATATTCCATGCTCTGAAGAACTCCTTCCCCTGGAGTTTCGGAGCCTCGTTGTCCGCAGAGGAATGAATATCCAAATCGGAGATCAATGAGGTCCAGATGAAACTTCGACTGACTATTACGGCGATTTCGTTCCGCATTCGCCGAAAAGTGGATTCGCGAAATGGGTACTTCCACGGAGGAATTTTCGGACGACGGCAACCGATTCCTCGTCAATGGGGCTCCAATACTACGGATCGGCGGAGGGAAGAATCGTCCATGCTATCCAGAACAATGATCTTCCACCGACCTCAAACCAGGATGTCAGCCTGATTCGTCGCCAAGTAATGACCGATTGCGTAACTTTTACACCGAGAAGATCTAGGGAACAATGCCTCAGATCAGGTCACACGAATTTGTGCGGGAATCCTCTCTGCTTCCAGCAGCAGCCACGAACATACCTCCGGGGCTACTCGGACATAATCACATAATGAGATACACAGGCGAATTCCCTAGGAGAGACGATTCCCTCTGACCTTCCCTCTGTCAGTTGGGAAGTTAAAGAACATCTTCTCCAGAAGAGTTCCACGTGTCGCTTGTTTTCCTCTGATTTCAACATAGTATGACCGATTTCAGCCGTGTAATCCGTCAACCAGCATAGCGTACCGGTCCCTGGGAGGGGCACTTTGTTTACAGCTTATTATGTAAGAATCTTTCTCAGAACTAAATTCGGTACGAAACTTTTTTCGAGATAGAATCCCCGGGGCGGGAAACTGCAAGGTGAGTGTCGGGCCGATGAGAGCAGTGGAATTCCAGTCCGTGGCGCGACAGAAGAGGGCCGCTGGAAGGACTTCAGTACAAGCATCGATGGGAGACTACACGGAATCGGTCCTCTAATATGAAATTCCGTATTCCTTCGTCGTCTTACGGAACTCTTAGTCAGATGATATAATACAGGTCCACAGCGCACATTATCACGGCTGTTGAAGGTCCCACGTTTGATACAGGACGTATTGACGAGGCCACCTTTCGTACGAGTGTCTAACGCAGATTTGAGCGTTTCCGACGCTCGAAAGTTCAGCGAACCAAGTTTTTCGGTTCCGAGCTTCTTCCTCGCAATTAAGCTCTAGCTTGAGATAATCGGATCGGTTCCGATTAAACCATTCGCAGAAATCGATTACATTCGGAATTCAGAGTCCTCACCAGTAGCGTACCCAGGGGGGGGGGGATCCCAGGGGTCCATGGACCCCCCAAAATCTTCATCCGTAATGCTAACGTATAGGAGCAGGTACCCATTTTGGATCCTTATTTTCAAGCATTCACATACCACGATGTCAAGAAAAATATAATGCAGGTAGCACTTCTAGAAAACTCCGAGATACGTCCATACATCGCCAGTTCTTGAGTTATAGATCGCTGTCATGTCTGATGGCTCTCCCGTCTCTCCTTTACTGAGAACCACAATCTTCCGAAAGCAGAGCTTTCCGTGCGTGTTCCGCTCCGAACCAGGTGATTGTGATTATGTACACCTCACTTTACTTGGGAATATACAAATAGCGGAATTCTTCTCCTTCGTCCGTCGGAACGACAAAGTGTTCCCCGTTGTCCACGGTCCCTCAAGCGCGTCGTTCGTAGATGTACTCAGTCAAAACAGAGCCAAGGAGTCCTCCTTCAACTTCTTTGCAAAGAACGGGCACGACGGCGCCGTCGCTTTTGGCCAACCAACACATTTGCTCAACCAAAACGATCTCTGCTCGAAATGTCGCACCTCAAGGTTGCGCCGCTGCTCCGCGAGAGAATATCGACGGTGCTGGATTTAAGCTCGGTGTGGCCATAAACCGCAAGATTGGCATCGCATCCGAATCCGCTCACGCATCGCTCGTTGTCGAAGACAGAAAGATCTATCTCGACGCCGGCGCCGCGGATCAGGAGACTCAGCCTGAGATCTGAGTCGGTGGTGGTGAAGGGATATCATTGAACTTTTTCCGGCGTCCCGATCAGCTGTCTTTGTATCCGTTCAATGATCCTAAAGTGAGGAATGGATTATTAATATTGAACACGGAATCAGAATCTTCCCTACACGTCTCCATACATTCTTGATCAAGGGAGGTCCTAGTAGCGATATGGGAGAGCAGTTCATGCAGCGACGGTGGATGATCGCGGAGATACAGTCAGTGCTCGATTTAGTGGACACGTTGGGGGAACGAGATCTTTGTCCACTAAATCGAGTTTTCAGTATATCGCGAGGTAATAGCATGGGGCGGAATGGAGCCGGGACTCGGGTTCGTGTTCACTAAATCGAGATTTTCACTAAATCGGTAGGTAACTAAATCGAGCACTGACTGTAGTGGGCTTACCTTTGTCTGGGAATGAATCCCAGGTTCAGGAAGAACATCTTTTGGACATCTATCGCGTAACCCGCGACGAATATGAACGAATCAATCGTGCAAGCCAGGCTCACGGAGTCGCTAATGTTGTAGCTTGTTGTGTCGAACGTCACGCTCATGTTGTAAAGAACTTCGAAAGTTTCTTCTTCGACCCAATTCGAGTTTTCTTGGTAAATGTCGAAACGTCGTGTGCCGTCGGATGAGTTCCCCTCGGATCGAAAATCACACCAATTCGACGATATCTCAGGATGAACGGAAACGTTTTCCTTGCTTTCTTGCCGCTTAGCTCCCGCTTTAGCGTCGATGATACCTTGTATCGAGAGCAGAATCGCCGCGAGTCCCGCGATGAATACCATCCCGAATATCATGCAGACCGCCTTCATGGGCAAGATTTGACTCGGCTCATCTGACTCAGGCTGAAACTTTCCACGAGGCATCATAGCCGTACGAGTTCTCTTCCTGTTGAGCATAAGGGTGAACGGGAGATTCAGTGAAGATTTTTAGTTATCGGTGTATATTAATGTTTTCGTTGCTCCGATTTTTCGCTTCGTTTTTTGGCGCATTTACATATGTAGTCGGGGAAAGAATCTTGTCGATTTCAGAG